ATAATGATGTGTCAATGTAAGTTCATTAGTTGTAACAGTGTCCCACCCTGGTGGAGGGTGTTGATGGTGGGGAGGCTGTATGAGTGTGGGGGCATAGTGTGTACAGGAAATCTCTGTATCATCCCATCAATTTTGCTGCACCTAAAACTGCTCTAAAAATAAAGCCCATTTAAAAAATAATGAGAAAAGGGCTGGGTGTGGTGGCTCACACCTGCAATCCCAGCATTTTGGGAGGTCAAGGTAGGTGGATAGCTTGAGTTCATGAGTTCCAGACAAGTCTGAGCCAGAGTGAGACCCCGTCTCTAAAAAAATAGCCCAATATTGTGGTGGGTGCTTATAGTCCCAGCTATTCAGGAGGCTGAGGCAAGAGGACCACTTGAGCCCAAGAGTTTGAGGTTGTTGTGAGCTATGATGCTACAACCCTCTATCAAGGGTGACAAAGTGAGATTGTCTCAAAAAAAAATATTGGAATAATGTTGTAAAATGGACTGATTAAAGCATGGCTCTTTATCAGCCTACAGTAAATGTTCCCTTCTCCTTCATAGACACGAAATGGGATACTCTGGGTAATTCAGGGCTTTGCTTAGGTATTGTATTTTCAAAGGATGAGAACACATTGAAATACTCTCAACACTAAAACCACATGGACCATAATTGAATCTTTAATTTTGTTGTTGTTGTCCTTCTCAAAGGCTCGTCAGTATATATTTAGGAGCTATGTTTCTCTAACACTGGTCCAAGGAAAACCTCAGCTCTCTGAATCATTTGATAGAGGTGCTGTTTTAAAATGCCATTTTCTGAGCCCCTATCTACCCTAAGACTACTGAAAATCACTGGATGATTTTTTTGCACACTAAAGTTTGTGACCTACAGTTTTAGAGTCATGAAAGTCAAAATATGATTATCAATTATCATTACACTCAAGAGGCTGAGACGTTCTACTTAAATGAGAGTTCCAGATAATAAAGCACATTCAAGTACCTCATCTCCTTCAAGTCTTTGCTAAAGCATCACCCTTCCTATAAGAATTTTCCTGATTTAAAATTGTATAGGACCCTCTTCCCTATGCCACCCACCCTCACTATCACCCGTCCTCCTCAGTAGCATTTACAACATCCAACTGAGCAGACCACTTATTTATTTATTGTTTATTCATTCATTCGCTCACTCATTCATTTACTTATCTGACTCCTGTCTCTAGAAAGCAAAGATAGGTGGTGGGAATACAGCACCTAGGACAGTGTCTGGTATACAGAAGGTGGTCAGTACATATCTGCACCAAGTTGCCTCTTAGCACCTAAGCATCAATTCATTTGCTCACTGTGTTTCTCAAGAGGATTAAAAAAAAAAACAATAAAGCAAATTATTCTTTTCTTCTTTGAGTGATGCGCTGCGTGTGTAGTACTAGAAAGAAAGAGCTGGAACCATGTCCTCTAATCTCTTAATTCTGCAGTCGGGGCCAGTTGTTCTAAGGATCATTTTCCCTTAATGCCGCTGAGATCTTCAACTTACTATGAGGATCATGTATTTACAGCTGCATTGTCCTGTGAGGACTACTCCTAGAAGGACTTGTTGCCCCTAATGTGAATAAGGTGGACTGAAACTTCCAGGCTAAGATAAATCTGCAGTGGAAAAGGACTTCTCTAAGCTGACCCTGTATGTGACTCTGCTACAAACCAGGTATTGACAAGAAGTAGAGGCTTCCTCCTCTGAGGTCTGGAATGAGGATATTAATAAATGGATCTCATCTCAAGATACTTCTTACACAGTGTTGGCTGGCTCTGAGCAAATGATCCTCACCCATTTCCTATCCTCCAAGCCACCCAGCCAACAGCACCAGCACCCAAATCAATGCCCATGAACATCTGGAGAACCTCACTCCCTGTACTTCTCTGCTGACACCATGTTAAGGTCAGACTTAGGAATCGTCAGTGCCTAATACTGCAGATGCTACCTGCTGACCCTCATCTGTATCTTTCCTCTGAGTCACCTGATGTTCCTGTTTGTGTTAGGATGGTAAAAAAAGCCCAGTGTGGGATGCCTCCATCCCCAGTCCAGGGGATGCTGAGAAACTGTGGGTCAGAGAGGAGGATAAAAACAGGAAAAAGCAAGTTTGTTGCCAGTGTTATGCTCACAGGACGGCAGGATATACCTGCTGAGCACTCCCAGAAAGTCCCTGAGGAAAGCATTACTATGAGTCTCTGGAGTTCTTCTAAGTATGGTAGCTGGGGTGTGGGGGAGGGAAGGTGTGCTAAGGAGAGGGGGATGGGCACCCTTCCAGGGGTCAGTTATGTTGTCCAGAGCTGCTGCATACAATAATAAAAGGTTGTTGGATACAGGGAGGATGTGAAGGTGGGTGCAAAGGGCTTTCCACCAAGGGTCATCACTGGGTTACACTGGGGGATTAAGGTTTAAGTTTGGGGGGAGGAGTGTGAGATGAGTTAAGAGGGAGGGGCTTGTGAGACCCCTGTGAGGTTTAGGGTGGGCGGTGAAGGCTGCCTCAGGTTCCTGCTTTGCCAGCCAGGGAAGTGAGGGATCTTTAGGTTTGAGTATGAGAGATAGGGATAAGAAGTGTGGCTCTAACTCCCCAGGCGATCCAGACTAGACTTTCTCAGGGTTGTTTCCAGGCTGAAAAGAGGGAATTTGGGGGGTGCATGTAGTGGCTGGCAGGAGCACCGGGTGAAAGTACTAGACTCTAGTACACAGGTACTAGAGATACTAGTAACTAGAGGATCATGAAGACCAGAAGATGAGGATGGGAGGAAAATGTTAGCCTTCACGGGGAATAGTCTCAAAATGAGACAGACGGAGGGAAGTAACTCCAAACCCAGTAGGTATTTGCTTAGGTTCTTCCAATCGGATGGGGTGGAACTTAGATCCCTGCAAAAGAAATGGGTCATTCGCAGCGCAAGATACACAAGCGAACCAGCGAGCCATCCGGCTCTTAAACTGAAAACCGAAGCCTCCAAGAGGCATTGACTTCTCTCCCAGCCTTGCTGGGGGTAGGGTGGTGACTGTCTCGAGCCAGGTTCCCCAAATCCGAACGGACAGGAGTTTGAAAGAGTCTGACAAGAGCCAGGAGGCGAGAGCAACAGGGAAGACTCCTCACACTGCGGGGTGGGGGTGTCAGCAAACTGAGAACCCAGGCTTGGGGTTGGGTGGGGTTCTCAACAGACGTTAGGGTCCTCAACTGTGGACGAAAGGGATTTGGAGGAACTGGACTCTGGACAGCAAGGGCTGAGAGGAATTGGAAAAACTGATAGGGTTTCTACTGGGGCGCTGAGGAGGGATTGGAGAAACTAATAGGGTTTCTACTGGGGTGCTGAAGGACGCGCCCCACTCGCGACACGAGGCACCGAGAGGGTTCCCCCAAACTGGATATGGGATACCGGGAGTAGAATGAGGACTCTAAATTAGAGATCTGGGTGGGGTGTGGGACTCTAAATTAGGTTCGGAGGAAATTAGGGGCTGCAAGGGCGGCTTCTCGTTCCTACTGGGGAAATGGAGGGATTCTCACCAGTTGGAACATGTGAGGATTTGCGGGCACTAAGACTATCTCCCTCCCGACCCAGAGAGATGGGGGAATCTCTTAAATTCTGGATAGGAGGGACCTGAAAGGGAGGACTGGGGGGGGGGGTCTCCGATCTGGAGCCGAGCTACCTTGAAGGCACCGGGAAGCGCTTCATTCCGGGAGGGCGTTCCCGCGGCCGGGCCCCCGCGCTGGGGTGGGTGGGGGGTGCGGCCGCACCCGGGTCCCGGCCCGCATCGGGATTCAGGGGTCTCTCTCCGCCCCGGGGACCTGGGAGCCTTGCAGGAGGGGGCTCCCGGCGCCGCCGCCTCCGCGGGCGCCCGGGCGCGCGGGCGAGCGCCCGGCTTTATGCGCGCAGGGCGGTGGGGGGAGGAGCCGGCAGGTCGGCCCCCGGCGGGCCCTCCCC